CCACTCTTCACTCCTATCTCCGCCCTCACGCCATCGCTGCTAAGCTCAGCGGGTGAGCGGGTCGCTTCCTGTTTGCAGGGGGACAGCAGGAAGTGAAGAGAACGGTGGACTGTGCTCCAGTGTGAACGACTGTCTCCTGGGGAAACTGGAGGGGAGTTCAGCGTAACTGCAAGGCGAGAGGAGGTTGGGACGGCCAGTGGGAGGAATGGTGATGATGAAAAGGGAGGCCTGTCGGCTGTCCTGCTGCAAAACCAACGTGACAGACTCAGACCCATCAGTGCAAACGGCAGGGTCACTCCTATGTGTTGTCAGAGGAGAACTATGGAGAACAACAAAAAAACAAAATGCGACTTATTAAACCTTAGATATGCAGTCATTAGAGAAAGAAAGTTTGAAAAACGAATTGGACGCTTAATGCTTCCATAGAAATTAAGAGTGTAAGTAGCAGCCAGGTCCTGCTCATCAAATGTACTTAATTAACTGATCATCAGCAAGCATGAGCACGTCTATAAAAGCAAAAGGTTTTCAGTTTGCTGGTCTGGAGCATTCACAGTGTGGAGGTTAAAAATCCTCATTCAGACTCAGAAGGCAGGCAGGATTAAACAAACAATGAGCCTTAGTCCATGAAACAAAGTCCAAAAGGCAAGGCAAAGCAAAAAGTCAGTCCACATAAACATCACAAGCGAACAAAAATGACATCTAAAACAGGCAGAACCAAAGACTTGACAAGTACAGGATGACCCAAGAAAGGCGAACATTTCTCTGTTGTTGAAAATGTCAACTGCGAAAATAAAGCTGCCAGATAAATGGACAGAGGAGCAGAAGTCCAAAGCAGTTTGGCATGAAAATATACAAATAGTTCAAATGTGTCCTTAAGTACAGTCCTTGAGTATAGGACTAAGTGCAAAGGTGTCGTATATTTAGAACTCATAACATTACTCAGTGAGAAATGCCTCCGTCAACGGTGGGTCTATTTAATTTAAAAACCATGAAATATGTGGTAAAAGTAATTATCTCAGGCACACAGTGTTCTCAGTTTGCAGCAGGATAAAAGGAGGAGGTGGTTTGATATGAGAATATATATTCCAGAAAATGAACAAAGTTCTGAGCCCCTGGATAGTGTTGTTTGGTTTTTAGCAATATTTTTGCTAACTAATCCTGAGTTTCAGTTACACAGCTGAGAAGATTGCCTAAGTTTATCTTACAACAGCGATGCATATATGTGTTAGAAAAAATTTAGTGCTTCTATCATGGATTTCTCTGTCTTAATCTACTTTCCTGGCAACTTTGTATAGTTTTTACAGGAATTGGAACATTGGTGTAGCAGGGGATACTAGGAAGCTCTATTTCAACATTATACACTTGGATTTTTTGTTGAAAATTATTTGATAATTATTTATGACAGTTACAGTTTTTATATTTAAATATCGTATTTAAACACGTTTAAATAGCTTAAAGCATATTTTTAGCAATAATGAAACAAATACAATGTTAAGGAACAGACAAGGGTGGCCAATTAAGCTAAAAAGAAAAGGGGGGGGGGGGGGGGGGGGGGTTAGCATAAAAATTGTTGAATTTTTTTTTGTTAACTACATGAAATATAAAGGAAACAAATAGTTTTATAAATAAATACAGATTTGTTAAAGGTTAAGAAGGGTACTTCTCCGAACATGATACAAATGCTCTATAATAAAATTCACCAGAATTGAGGAGATCGGGTGTTAGATGCACAAACTTTTGGGGGAAGGATCCTCAGACCTCTTCATGATATCCTCCCAATAAAGTCAGACCTACTCCCGTGTATTTATTTAACGTCACCTGTTAAGGTGGAGCAGAATAAAGTGAACTAGAAGAATACAGTAGTTAAAAAAAAAAAAAAAAGACAAAGTCTCCATCGAGCTAAGCAAACAGTGTAGACAGGGACTTCTATCAGCCTTACCCGCTGGTGTGGCTCCTTCTCTGGTGCTCATGAGGAGATTTCCTTCACAAACCCTCCGCCTGGTTCCCTATCTGAGCTTATATGAGGCTCTTATCAAGCATCTCCTGCGTCTTATCGCCGCTCGGTAACGTAACCGCTCCGGTGTTTTGGTGATGCTTCTCGACTCGACCTCCGGAACGGGAACAGCACAGTCCTGTCACTCAATGACAAGGACGAGAGAGCCGTGACGCTGTTTGTTGTTTATCTGCAGCCCTCATCACTTTCCGTCTTTATTTCTCCCTCCACTTCTTTTTTTTTTTTTTTTTATCGCGTCCGGTAGTGGATGTAAACATAAATGGCGAAACATAGGAAGAGAATCAGACTCGGACATTTAATCAACAAGAAGAGAAAAATAAAATAAAACCCGAAGCGGCTCATCGTTTGACAGAGCGCAGGCGCATCAGGGGACTGTGGGTCCTGAAGCCCTCTGTGCTGTCTTACAGACATGTGACGCACTAGAGCGCACTTTGGACAGAAGCTTCGAGCAAATAAAGATATATACTGATATATCTGCGTCCACAGACAACAGATTATAGATATATACTGCGTTTAGAGACAACACTTCTGACACTAAGATAGAATATTTATTTATCACAGGGCTATGAAACTCCTCTGTTACAGCAGTTAGATTAGCTACAGTACTTAAACTTAAATTAGCAGAATATTATGTAACTCATCAGAATACAATGCAATACTACATGTTTCATATTTAATTAAAGTTGGTGTGTGTGTCCGTGTGTAAGAATGAGTTGTGTGGTTATGTGGATGTGAATTATGTGGATACGTGGGACTCTATTCAGTCCAAACAGAGAGAACTAAATAAATAAGGGTGTAGGGTTAAAATAAATTGTTAACATGTGAGAACAGTTGATACCTCCATGGACAGATGTGTTGCTCTCAGGCTGTTGTGATATTTGATACCACAAGTTACTACATGTGAAAAATGTGAAAGATGTATCTGTGATTATCTGTGATTATCCGTGATCGATAACGGTTTGTTGAGTGATCAGCCGATCACAGAGCCGACTTTCCTGATCAGTTTATTCAGTCTGTTGGGTCTATCAGCTCTGACGCTGCTCCCCCAGCAGACCACAGTAAAGTACACCGCACTCACCACAACAGAGGAACAGAAAATCTCAGAAAACTCATATCAAAGATCTCAGCTTAATTATGAAATAGAGCCTGCTCATCCCCTTTGTCGGTCTTTCAGTTTAGCGTCTTTGGATCACCACCAATAAAATTTTGTGTTACTGATGTTTTTAATACTTGTTTTATGAATTTTTTTTTTTTGTCAAATTAGAGATTTAGAGATTTAGAGATTAATAATATAAAATTTGCTGCAAGAAAGTGACCATTATTCCAGCAAATTGAAATAATAATGAATGAAGTATTCACATGCTCCCATTTGTTGGCCTTCCTAAGACCTTTAGAAATATGATCCTAGCTGTGAATCTCTGAATGCAACTCCCTGATGTATTTATAACCCTAAAACCCTGCAGACCATATTAACACAGTAATTCAATTCTCTCTTATTTATATAGTGCCAAATCACAACAGTCGCTTCAAGGTGCTTTATATTGTAAGGTAAAGGCCATTCAGTATTCTGGAGAAAACCTCAACAATCAAACAACACCCTACCAGCACGCACTTTGTGATGGCAGGAAGGAAAAGCTCCCTTTTTGTCAAGGTAGCGCTGTGTGGTAGGCAGGAGTAGGACCCAAACCCAGGACTCATAACACAGAGGGATAAAGAAAAGATTTTATTTGCTGTAAAATTCAAACACTAAATACAAGGAAACAAAAACCTAAAACTGGAAACTAGGAATTACAAGGAATCCGAGAAGCACAGAGGAAACACAGCGATGTGGGACAACACAACAACAAGCAGAGGACGACAGAGGACATAAATACAGAGAAGACAATTAGAGGATGGGAAACAGGAGGGATCACAGCTGGAAGTAATCAGACACAATGAGACACAGGGGAAGAAAAACTGAACACACTGAACAGCAACACAGCTGTCCCCCAACACAGCTGTCCCAAACCATCAACACGGCAACACACTGAACACAGGATGGGAGACTGTCAAAATAAAAAAGGAAACACAGAGAGGGTGAAAAGGATGACGAACTGGGGAGAACACAGATGAGACCAAGACAACCAGAGCACAAAAGAGAACAGGCTAAATGAACAAGAACCTAAGAATTAGAAATACAAATGATTAAACTAGGAAGAACAAGGAAACTGAAACATGATTAAAACTAATTCAAAGAATATAAATTAAACCAGAAAACACACACACTGAGTCACACACCCAGGACCGTGACACTATTAACAGAAAGAAACGTTCAGCAGAACCAGGCTCAGGGAAGCCCATCAGCTCATCGTGGGGCTTCCCTGAGCCTGGTTCTGCTCGAGGTTTCGAAGAAAGAGAAGATAAAAAGGGCAAGTAAAGCACAGGAAGATGGCACAAAACAAAGCCTGTTGCTTTTGTTTGAGCCTTTAGGAGTTGCCATCCTATCTTCTGTACTTAAACAACTAATCAGCATGGCCAGCAGTCTCATCTATAAGACAGTACTGAGGGCTTCTTTAACCCATAGATTACCAAAAATACCCAAAGGAGAGCAGGAGAGAGGCACATAGCTTTGTTTACCACAGGAAAGAAAATGGAAAAACAAAAACTGCTGAGCTTCATAAATGATAAATGATTTCAGGTTTTTGGAATGAAGATAAAGTAGATAAATCAGACTTCTCGCAGATTTCTCTAAATTCAGCTTTGAAACCTGTGGGAATGTCGATATATGAATTGAGAGAGAAAAATTAGCACAGATAACTCAGCGGAGTTCTGTTCGTAAACAGAACTCTGCTGTATATATATATATATATATATATATATATATATATATATAATAAAATTATTTATGATATATATATATATCATAAATAATTTTATGTATTTCAATCTGAGTGTAAAAGTCTGATTTAATCTCCATCCTTCCATCACTTAACTACTTCAGGGTGGTGGTGGTGGGGCTGGAGCCCAGGTGTCACAGGGTGAGAGGTGGGTGACCTGGAGAGGTCACCAGTCTGTTGCAGGGCATTTAATCCACCTTAAACCTCATTTTTCCCACTATTTAGATCGGCCTGTAGAATAAATAAAAAACAACAGAGTTGAAATTTGTTCATTTTAGATTGCAGACATTTTGTGTTAATGTGTTAAAACGTTAAAGTAAAAACTGCAACTGCTACGGTAACCGTGACAGAGTTAGAAGTGGGAATAATGACTGCTAGAGTGAAATGGGGAATAATCAGCACACTGCTTACATTAACTAATGCAATTACCCAACTTACAGTTTCAGATTTTGTTGTTTGAGGTTTTTTTTGTTTATGTGTCTCACATGTGGCCTTCCTCTTGTAGAAAATAACTCCAATAATTGGAAACACCAAAGCCAGCAGCAGCCCTGCTGCACCAACAGCAATCTTATTCTTCCCTGCTTCAGTTATTGGCACTAAAAACACATTTATCACTGTGTTAGATATACACACTTATATAATATGTCTTATTTTAGAAGGATAACACCAATATGAGTTCTACTGATAAACTCTCCTCCAATCACTCTCTTACCCCAGTCATAAACCTTGGGCTCTGTGAGGCTGGCATGCTCCACCATGCAGCTGATTTTCTCTCCAGGTTTCGATGAAATCTCGATGTAGGAGTGAATCTGGTAGAGCCAGTTTCCGTTGGGTAGTTCATCAGTGGAAGTCACATTAGATGTTGCCTCCTTTCCGTCCTTCAGCCACGTCAGTTTGATTTGTTTGGGATAAAAGTTGTACGCGCTGCACATGAACAAGCCTGGATGTTTGCTATCTGCTGACTCAACTAACCTCAGCCTGACAATGGGCTTCACTGGAGGAAAGAACAGACAGAGCTATTTAATATAAAATGAAATATCATCAGTTAATACACTGATACTGGACTAATAACACTAAGTTTCTGTAATTATTTAGACTACAGTCAGACATGTGTAACAGTGGAACAGATGAAGAGTTTCAGGAGCTGCATTTTGCCGCGTATGTTGTCCTGATTCTAAAAAAAAACATTGCAGGTGTTTCGACGATGATACATGAATGCTTTTCACTAAGGAAATGATCTGAACACTTCTTTCAGCCCACTTGATGAACAGATTCCTGCAATCATTCCCTCATAAAGTTCTTAAAACGTTTTCAGAAAAGCTGCTCTAAAGCATCAAGTTGTTTCTAAAGAGACCCCAGAGTGAGCAGGCTGCTGAACCCTAAAACATCATTAGTTTCAGCTGTGCTCACCTGGTCTTGAAAGAATGTCCAACACGAGTGGGATGTTGGTTCTGCACTTCTCTTTGTTCTTTTTCTCATGTTCCAGGAAACCTTTGTTTTTATTGAGATTGTCTGCAATTTCTTTAGTTTTCTTTGTGTAGCCGACATATTTCCCCAAAGTGCTGTTGTACTGGCCCAGAAGCATCTTATTCAAGTAGACTTGCGCCAGATAAACAACATCATCTTTAGAAGTAAACAGGCAACGGATCACACCGTAACCAAAGTAAGCATCTGTAACACAAAGTCAACAATTAGCCAATATGGAAATGCTCATGTTTTTTTTATCTTCTCACACACAACAAAAGCACCAGTTTAAGGTTTGCTTGTATTTTTATTTCTCTAATGATATCATTGTTGTATTGTTGTAACACAAACAATACAGTTTATATATTAAAGTTACTTACCCGCTGTTGAAAATATCAAGAGCACATGTGGCAGTATCACAAAGTTGTGAGTGTGCATGGTGACGAACACGAAATCACGAATGAAAGTAGCAATCAATCTGATCTTCTCGCATAAGGAAGTGAATCTGCAGCTTGAGTAACAATAAACTTTTTAAAGAGTAGGCGTGGTGCTCTGTGTATGTATGTGGTGTGATTTATTTTCACCCTAACTGCTGGATTTGTGCAGACTGTAAAAACTTGTGTAAAATTTCACCTGAAGCTGGTTTAAACTGTTTTTGAAACCATACAGGAAGGCCGTAACACATCTGTTTGATATCCAAGCAGTGGTGCCTTCATCATGGAAAGAAAAAAGAAGGTTTTTGTAAGCGATAAAAGAAAGAACTGTGCTTGAGATGAATTAGTATTCAAAATTTGCTTCATTTCCCCGCTATGGCAATTTATTACAGTGCAAACAAGGAATTTAGTTCCAAAATCAGAACTCTAGCATATGGTGTTATGTATTTCAAGTTGGAGTAAATTCTTAGCAGTAACGCCCTCTTTCAGTTTAAAATAACCTGAAGAAAAATTACTGCTGCAGGTCTGATATTTGTATCTTAATATTGTGCAGCGAATTGTGTGTATTTGTAGTTTCATGCCTATAATAGATTGAGATATTAGTTTCTTTTAAGTCCTTTGGCAATAAAAGAATATAAAAAAAAACATTTTTTTGGAACTTATAAAACTCATCGGTTTTACATTAACCTGAATACCTGCAATATTGTCATTACTGACAGAAGTAAAAACGTCTTTTTATTTTTGCTTTATTCATAAGACTAAATATTTACCCCAGATTCCTGTTTAGGGTCTCTCCAGTGCTCCACGGTGCAGCTGTAAATGTCGCCCTCGCTCAGGCTAAACGTCAGAGTTGAGAACTGGTGGAAGGTTTGATCTTTATTGGGAACATACCGACTGAGCGACACCCTCTCAGACACTGGATGGCCGTTTTTGGTTTAGCTGAAATTGATGGAAGGTGGGTTGAAATGATTCACAAAGCCGATCAGGCTATTTTCAACCCCCAGCTCAACTTCTTCAGCAAGACAGAGGATGCTCTCAGGGGGTCTGTGGTGGGTTTAAAAACAACTAAGATCCATCATATCTTACCAGTTATGTTACATCAAAGATAAATGAAGTAAACAGCAGTAAAACTCATGTACCTTTTTCCTCCAGTGGATTTTTCTGTAATGTATAACACATTTGTTTTCTGTGTTCTCAGATCTCCAGATATTTGACTTGGGTTAATCATAAGATAGGTGGGCACTGTGTATACAACCCCGTGTCTTTTATAATCAACATTAAAAAAGCTCTTCAGCCTTGAATTTACTTAACTTATATCATTGTCAAAACAGGTCACTATTGCAACTGAGAATAAAAACTTAAATAATAAATACATTTAATCTCTGTCTGGTCAATGAAAATAACAGACTGATCACACCTTACTTCCTAGGTTCCTTCCTGTAACGGAGACATTCTGAATTTGTCAGTAATTACATAAACAGTTCTTGCATCATCAGCCAGAAATATGAGAAATTACACAAGGCTATGCGTAATACACCACATTCCTCGGTTTTTACCACAGTTTTAGTCCAAAACTTTCTAACTTCCTTGTAACACGTGTGATAAGAATGACTACACACAAGTAGCAGAAACCCAAAAAGCAGAAGTTGGTGTGTCAGGACCAAGGTGTTGCAATCACAGCTGCAGGGTTCGCAGGTCCCTGTGGATTTACTTTGGTAACGAAAGAAGTTACATCCAGTCCTTCCAGTCCTTCTCACTAAAATGCACAAAATACTTTGAAACATCCTCATAAACATCTGCAAAGAAGATTTGAATCACTATTTACCAAGTGATTCAAATCTTCTTTTCTGCCTTTGCTGGCATGTTACGGAGTTTGTTTTAACAACAACACATTAAATGCTTTGACAAGTCTCTTTTTACTTCACTAAAACCACTTAGTGAAGGAATTTAAGTTGTTCGGGTTAAACCAGATTGGTTTTTAAAGAGTCTGATGATAAGCTAAAGCAAAAAAATTAACTGTGCCTACGTGAGTAATATCAATAAGAAGATTGGTACTCAAGGTTTCTTAGCAGAATATTACAAAGCATCACACTGCCTCTGCAGGCCCAGCTTCTTACCAAAAGGTGTCCTCGCAGCTACCTTACTATGGAACTCCAAAGTGTTCAAAATTAAATAAATAAATAGGTCAAGATGAAATAAATAACTATGTGAATAAATAAGACACAGATATGTAATGTGAGAATGATATTGTGAAATAATGGAACACATTTTGAAAAAAATGCTCATTATTGTGAAATATATTGCATTCTGCTATATAAATTTACTTATTATTGTGAAATATTATTTCATGGTCATTATTTTTCACAATAACAGAGATTATTCCTGAGGCATTTTATTTATTTCCAGCCGTTTATATTCCAAAATGACCTTTTTTCAAAGTCAGTCTTTATTTCAAAATCCCGTTTTTCCCGATGGTCTATTTATTTCATAATGCGACTTTTCAGCAGAATGACTTTGTCTGTCAATCAAGAAAGACAGGGCGGAGCCAGTTGTGTGATTGGTTGCTCCTTTACTCAGACGTAAGTAATAGCACATGAATTGTCGATTTAGGTTTAATGGTGCAATGCATCTCCTATGCAGCTGGCGGCAGTATGCAGCTCAAAATAAACTTAAGGCACCGACAAATGCAAAACACTGGGCGCGAATAACGTTACAGGTGTATCAATTCTTGTGAAGGGCATGGCTGCAGGAAACAAGTCCGTTTCTGAGTTACTCAGAGAACTTGTTAACCGCTTAGATTGAACGTCTTCACCTCAGTCTGCGTATTGCAGCAGTGTACTGGAGATGAAGTGGTCCCTGATCCAAGTTCTCATCACAACCGCACAGTGTTAACGTTAGCAAATGCTAACGCTATCACAGCTAGCTCCACTCCACGAAACGCTGTTCAGGGTAAGTAACGATATGTTATTATTGCTTGGTTAGTCTGTCTGTCTGGCAAAAATGAGCTTTTTAATCAGTTTAGTCACAGATTTTTTTTAATACTGTTTTTTATCATAGCAAAGAATTCTATAAATTAGGTAAGAGAAAATAATTGTCTTCTGGGTTAATGTCTGTATTACTATTTACATTGTTGTAGGTAATAGTTATTCATGACTGTTTTAAAGTGGCTTATCTTCTGTGCTAATATGGAAGACAAGTAATCTATGTGAAAGAAAAGAAAGCAATTTTAGTTCAACGTAGTGATTTTGTAAGTGGGTATAATTTGAAAATGCTTTTACTAGTACAGTGGATGTTCTTTAAATATTTAACATTTAAAGTGTGTGTCACTTTACAGACTCCAACTTCAGTTTTGGTTTGGTCTCACCGTTGTAGGTCATAACACAAACAAGTCGTCAAGTCAAGCAGCTGAGGAAAGGGCTTAAGGAAACCATGGTATGGCCGCTTCTGACAGAAAGATCAGACATCATTCCTCCTTTCTTACCAAGGGAATCAGAGACTGCTCCCTGTTGTGAGGTAAGGTCAGGTCACATCTTTTAACATCTGAATAGTAAAGCTATTTGGTTAATTTATGAAGGATGAACATTAATTGTTGACACAAAACACCAATATACTGTTTTGTATGCGTGGGTTAGTTGAACAGCTGGGTTACATTTAATAAAAATACACCTAATGTTGCTGATGCTCTTAAGACTACAAGATAAGTAAAGCTATAAAATGACTGTGGCCTGCCACAGAAGATGAAGATGAGGAAGAAGAGGAATGCTCTCGAGGATAAATGCAGAGTGGCAGGTTACCTTCGGTCCTTCATTGAAAATGGTAAGTCTGCTGCGATAGGTATTTTGCCATTGGTTTTCTCTGATTATACTTTGGTAAATTACATACAGTCCAGTGATCTTGGGTCATTAACAAAGTACACTATAGTAGAGCTGGGCGATATGAGATTTTTTCATATCACGATATTTATTTTTATTTATTTTTTTATAAAAAGGACAAGAGCGGTGAGGTCTATCGCAATAGTTTAATTTTTCTATTGAGAAAAAGTTATTTCGCAATACATATCGTTATCGTTCTATCGCCCAGCTCTACACTATAGTATAATTTTGTTTTGTTATTTGCTCCATGCAATACATAAGAGTGGTGGCATTATCAGTTGCACTAGAATTGTATGTAGACTACTTTTAGCTTTGTTAACATAAAAATATCTATAAAAGCTACAACAGCAATTTGAGTGGGGCAAAAATGTCTGGTGCCCTGTATGTAAGTGGTCATCTTTTATGGTATTTCTCCATAAAAGATTCAAAATAATGAATATAGGATGTCATTATAGTTTAAAACAATCTTCTGTTGCAGCATCTTGTGCACAACAAAAAGCCCTCATCAAGTTTTGGACAGGATGGGAAGTCTTGCCGAGAAATGACTGTGGAAGTGGTCAACAGCAATCTTCCAAAGTCTTCCACCGGTTTTGAAGTACTACGTCTTCCTGCACACTACTGTACCTATGAGTCATTTCTAATGGACATTCAGGTGTGTCTCAACTCTACTGACTCAGGTTTTGGTCTGGTTTACGATTGATTTCATAACCACATGGTAAAATTAGACCATTTCTTCTTTCTTGCATCACATTACTGTACTCTGTGTTCAAAGAAACGGACAATCTAGTGAGTTCTAGTTCTTTTTAATACACTTGACAGTGAAAAATACAGAGTACAGGTGTGCATTTATGGCTTTTTTAATATAAACTGATGAAGAGTTCAGATATCAAAATCAGTTGTTCACTGTACATTATAAATTACACAATATGTTTTGTTTATACTCGCTACCGATACAAAAAAAATTTCTAGAAAAAATTATTTGAATTAAGATGTTACACTACTCTGTGTTCATTGTATTAAATCTGCTCAGAGTTGACATGTACTGTATATCCAACCAAGAAATGAATATCATTAAAGTGACAGCTGTATAAAACAAATCCTGTTTTATAGCCACTCACTGTTTTGTTGAAAATGAAATTGGTTATGCTGTTTTGAGTCAGTATTAGCTACAAAGCTGTAGAAATTAAAAAAAAAAAATCCTCCTGACATAGAAACTGATTAAATGTAATAATGTCTTTCTACAAGTGATTTTGAAGTATTGGTAGCACAGCAGGGTCTTGTTCATTCAGTGCATCTGGGAGCTGAATCTCAGGAATGGTGATCTCATTTGATGGGCAGCGATTATGTTGTCCTGTCCAGTCCACACCATAATCCTCATCAACCTGAAAGAGCATGCACATGTTTTAAATCTAAACTGAAGAGGTGTTTCCTGCAGCTGTTCCTAGATGGACTTATTGAGTCTGCCAGGGCCTATGTGAGTTGCTTAGGCATTGGCTACCAACTAATTATTCATTCACCCATTCTAGGTCAGGATTGGTTCTCTTCAGGTATAACAAATTTAACTTTGTTTAAAGTATTGCCATCTATACCTGACAGGTGGGATAAAAGAGAATGGCTTGGGAGGCGCACAGCAAATCTCAAAGTTTTCCAATTAATGCTGAAAGAACCAAGGATGTAAATGTATTCTTGTTTTAGCTTTACCGAAGACACCAGAGAAAGTATATCTATAATGCTGCTGAAATAGACAAAACCATTTCAATAAACTCGCTATTTAACATCAACCTTGTTATGCGTTATCAGAGAACAATCAACTGCAAACAGCAATGAAACATTCAACT